TTAAGGAGGTCCTTTCGCCTCCAATGTAAAATAAAAAATATTAGATTATGAGTAAATTCAATTTTTTTCTAATAGTTAAGGTCTTTATTTATCTAATAGTGAGGTTTAAAAATTTGTCCGGTAAAGTATAATTTAAACCTCACTATTAGATAAATAAGGACCTTAACTATTAGAAAAAAATTGAATTTACTCATAATCTAATATTTTTTATTTTACATTGGCGGCGAAAGGACCTTCTTAAGAGAATTGAATTACTTAAAACAAGAATGACATTTTGAAGTAAAAGTTTTTCTTGAATCAAGTTATTTTTTTATCAGTGTATAATTATGATCTTTTATGATTTTATATCAAATTTCTGGTCAAAATATAAGAAATATGAAAATAAAAAATTTTTTTGTAGGAAATTGAATATTCTATAGAAAAAAGATCTATCAATTTTCCTGTATCATTTTATCAGAAAATCACTTCAAAGTCCTAATCATTAATTGATACAATTATAAAGTACTACTTAGGATTTTAAATTAGATTATTGGCTAAAGGATCAGATAAAAAAAATTCATAAGGATCTTTTTTTATCCCTATTACTTTTCTCCTATCTCTAACCCCTTAGCCAGAATTTCAGTTAAAAAAAAATCCCTAATCTCGGTCAATATTAGGCACCACTGCAGCCAATTAATCAGTAATTAAAATTACTCAATGATTAAATAATTAGAATCAGTACATGCTTATATATGTTTTCTAATCCATGCTTATCTCATAATATAACAAATAACAATAACAATAACATATAAGTATTCTAATCTACAATCCACGAGTAATAACACTTTTATCCATATTAACTTATAATTCTAATTCAATTGAACAATAAGTCCAATTATAATTTCACAAGGTCACATTGCCAAAAAACAATATTAATAATAAAAACATTTAATATATTAAAAGGGTAAAAATGCAAATAATTAACAATCTATTAAAGGTTAATGAGACCTTCTGATAATGACTGTAGAGAGTCGGTAAAAGTTGGAAGGACCAAGAAGATGTAGAAGATGGTTTGTTTTGTTGTCCTTCCTGGAGGGACTTTTTTTTCCCGGGTCCTTTGTGCTGCTGAGTCGTCACATCCGGATCGTTAACTACGTCATCGTGACGGTCTAGTCCGCGGAGAACTTCTTTTTGAAGGCCGGAATTTACGCTGAGATACTGATATGGGTTTTATTTTATTTATTTATATTTATGTCGTAATTATTAAATAATCAACAGAAAAATTTGATGATCTACACTGGATAGTTTGTCTGGATTTAATTAATTAAGATACTAAAGAGTTGATAATTTTTTTATTTGTGTTTATTAGCGATATTGCTGCCAAGATTTCGCGAGTCGTAGTTTCCTTTTTTTCCTTTTCATTATTAGGTTAAATGGATGCATTCGTTACTTTTATGTTAGTTAAAATTATTATTATTGATGTTATTGTTGTTACAACTGTCATTATTAGTGTGATTTAGTCTCAAGAATAACATATCAAAATATCAGGCAAATTGGACCAGTACACGGAGAGAAAAATGTGGAAATCATTCCTATAATTTTAATGAAATATTTTCCTATACCATTTTAGGAGCGATTACTTAAATTATGGGAATTATACCCATAATTTTTGGGAAACGTTACTATAATTATGGGAATGGTTCCTATAATTATAGGAACGATACCTATAATTAAAACTGTAATATCGGCATGATTCCCATAATATATAGGAATGGTTCCCATAATATATAGGAATAGTTTCCATAATATTAAAGGAATAGTTTCCATAATATTATAGGAACCATTCCCATAATAT